GACATAAGCAGAACGATATGTGAAGGGGTATGCTAGTAAATGAGACCCTGGGGAAGTAATGTCCCTACCGTATGATGTTTGTTGGTGTTTTTAATTAAAGAAATTATGGTTTGTATATGAACTCAGTGTATTTTGTAAGTCCGCAGAAGTTGATTAATTTAAGGCATTGTTACTAATTGGCAACAAGGAATAGAGACCGTGGAAAGTTAGGCCAATAGAGACAAGTTGGAACTGGGACCATTGAAAACCAATTGGAATTGGGGCCAGTTGAAGGACCACTTGAATTGTCCAAAAACACACAACACCCACAATTTTTTTAATAGAATACACAGATTTTCTATAGAAAATCGTTCAATTTATATACAATTTAATGTATTTTTTTTTTTATATATATATATATTTAACACTATGTTATTATTAGTATGTATATTATAATGTAGCCGATTACTACTGTTAAATTACATATAAACCAAGAAATGATGATTCATATAATTATATATATGTATATATATATATTGTATATATATATTATATATATATACTGTATATATATATATATATATATATATACATGTAAACTTAACACTATGTTATTATTAGTATGTATATTATATATTGATCCTTAACCTTTATGTATATGCACATATAACAGGATTTTTGGTGTCCTATAGGATTTAGATAGTTTTCTACAGGACTTGATTAAGTCCTATAGGACTTGATTTAGTTTTATAGGATAATATGCAAACCTTTAGAACACCTTTAAAATCCTGTAGGATTCCTATAGGACATTTTCGTAAGGGATACTCATCTGGGTCTGATGGCACCTCCTATTTCAAGCAATTTGTGTTACACAAGTCTCTGGAGTAAGTTGTATAATTATGAGAATCATGAAGATTCTGAGAGCAACACTGAGTTATTGTTTTAAGTACTGCAACAATAACGCTCAGAGCCCGCTAATTTAGAAAGTTTAGATAAAAAGTTAAAGATAAGTTTGTATCATGACACACGGGTTTGTGTTACCAACTAATGCTTTCATTCTAAAGCGAGCCACGGATTTGCCATATAAAGGTTCGATAACAGGCCCTTAAGATTATTGCTACTTATGAAACGATCGTCTGCAATGTACGTAATATTTAATAAATTTATGATAATGAAAGGCCGGGCTGCGAGCATTTAATCTATGGCGATAAATTAATTATAAGAACAAAAACAGTAAAAGATTAACATTCTTCTGTGTATACCATTTAATTTCTTCAATTTCAAACAAATGACCGCAGATTTTCGTGTGATTTCTTGTATTTTAAATGAATATGGTCTTCTAATCAGATTAAAATTTGGTCCAATTTTGGCTGAAAAGTTTGCCGAAAAATTGGCCGTGAGATGGCTTGTGTTTGGCCGTGAAATCTGTCGACTATCTGGCAACCCTGTTTGTAACACAAGGAAGAAATTAGAGCCACACCTTAATAATATTAATAACAAGCTTCTCACTACCTAGCCATTGAAGCATAATATAGAAACATATTTATCTGGTAAGTACACATACCATAACAGTGTTTTTATGTAGATAAGCTACTGTAGAGATGGTCTGATGGTAGGCATAAATAGGCGCCTATCTAAACTGAGAGTAGGACTAGCTAGGTTACACTGTACAGTCCAGTCTCAGTTTAGAGAGTGGTGGTGTTTAGGACCTCCTAGCTAGGCGGTAAGGCAGGGGCGCCGCTAGCTACAACAGCCTTAACATCGGCGCTTGTTCCAGTCGCTCCTCGCCCATGGTTCGGTTGGTAGAACCAAGTCTTCTCGGATAGTTTATCACCCGCTCCCTCGTTACTTTTGGGAAAAATCTAATTTTTATTTATTTATTTTTTTTTTTTCAATAAACATATATTTTTATTTCAAACAGTCCTTTTTCCATCTTTTTTCACTTGAAAAGCTCAGGGTTTTTTGCAAATATGCTTACTGCCAACTGGTACAACAAAAACTTATTTTTTAAACATAAATTTGATTCCATTCTTATGACTTTTTATATGTGTCTCTAACCATTGATTTACTTGTGATCATTGGTAAAATGGGGGCGGGATTAGCAAAAACAAAAAAAAAAGCTCCCTCCCTCATCAGTTTTTATTCTTTGATAGGGTGATAATAATTTTTTTTATGGGGCCTAAGGACTTAAAATGGAGGTCCAGTGTATACATTTGGCTCGTGTGCACTTTAAAGAACCCATTGCATCTTTCGGAAGAGTAGGTAGGGGGGTTACCCTGATGTTATGGTTCATTTTTTCAGCCCCTGTCGTTGTGGAATGATGTGAACATGTAACTACCAAGAAGCGCCTCTTTACGGCTGCTAGGTAGTCACGGACCACGCCCATACGCAATTCAGCACAATGACGCTGCAAATGTTATGGGTTATTCTCCGGATTCCAGTCAATTCGAGCGGATGCCAGTTCGAGCAGATGCATTTAGTGCAAACTATAAAAAGGGCGAATTTATCATCGCCGTATTCTTGTATTTGTTTAAATGCAAAATATTGCTGTGATTACTAAGGTCCTGAAAGGTTTTTAGTACTTTTTGATAATTACTCCATGTTTGAATTACAGTCTTGGCAACTCTGACTACCAAGATGGCGGCTAACAAGTTAAAACTATAATAGAATTGCGCACTTTTCGGATTAAAAAAGAAAGAGTATGTTTTACTAGAGTGCATGAGAAGCACACGCACAAGACGAGTAACCATTATTTTTCTCACAGTAAACAAAGTGGGATGGCTAGCCACCCTATTCACCACCCTTCCCCAGATCCGCCACTGGTTGGGGTTCTGTATTTAAAAAAGCAAATTATATTTGTAATTGAGTTATGCTACTCACTTATCTATTCTGGCACTGTTGTGTGCCCCCTTCCTTCCCCTTTGAAAATGTCAAATTTTTAGCTCAAATTATATTTGTAATTGAGTTATGCTACTCACTTATCTATTCTGGAACTGTTGTGTGCCCCCCTTTCCCTTTGAAAATGTCAAATTTTTAGCTCAAAAATAGGAAATTTTGAAGTAATTCGTATAACTCGCACAGGTTGTTGTTCGCACAAGTGGATCTTCTTCTGCTAAAACTAGCATCCGCTCGAAAAAAAGTCCGCTTGAATCCGCTCGAATTGGCCTTCGCTCGAAGTAGCATCCACTCGAATTGACTGGTTCCCTTATTCTTCTACCTTTCTAGGGAAACCACATAAAATTCCAACTTGTATAAAAAAATTTAAAAAAATAATACAACAAACTACTAAGTATCAGCATCAGAAAAAATTTTATTACAACAAAATTGAGCAACTGGTTACGATTTTATGTATGTGAAGTATCTGAACACAAGTATAAGAGATTACACACATAATGAATACATTTCTGTCACTTTTTTGACATTTCCTCTAATGTTGACAAGTTTCTTTACTAAAACTTTAAACATTGCATTGTCATATTCATATATTTTATATTTATGTAATTTTTAAATATTTATTGTACAGGGAAATAAAAATAAAAAGAACACAAAAAAATTGATTATATCAGCAGATGACTTTTAAAACTTATGACTTACATTTTACAATATCATTGGCTGTAATAATGCATGACATTATCTTCGCATAGAAAACCTGGCATTGGCCTTGGCTTGACTTTTGCCAACATTAACCCATGCACAATATTAATTTTAATCATTGATATTTATTGATAATTTCATACAATAATCATCTCAATCTATACTTGAATATTTAAAAACACATTTAGTTTACTTTTCAAACACATATTAGTTCAATTTCATGAAAAATATTCCCGTTAAATATCAATGGACGCCGAGTCGATTGCACGTCGTAACGTGCACAACCAGACGATCCTCATCAGATCGTCATTTTTTAGGCTTAGAAAACTACTATTGCGGCTAATCGTATTACATTCATATTTTGCTGATATGTTCTTAGATACATTATTTAACGAAAAATCAAACGAATTTGAAAAAAAATAGTCACGATTCTCCGAAAAAGATAACTTAGTTTGCGGTAATTTACAAACAGCTGAAAAATTGTTGATGTCAGTCGATCCTGGAAAATTTCAAAATGGTAACCATCTTTCACCACCAAATGACCTTTAATCACCTGAGAAAAGGACTCCAACCAATCAAAAGACATTTTTCATGAATATATTTCTAAAGCCCTTTGTTGAAAAAGGAGATACGCTTGGCTGGTACTGTTTACACTACTATCAGTGTGTGATGTCACGCATCGTAGCCTACTTACTTTACCTTTACCATTACCTTTTTAGTTTAAGTTTTGAAACGCAAACTTCCGCATTCTACAGTGCACTAAGTAAATAGGCCTACGCCTTTTTCACGAATCGGTAGACAGGGCAGTTTGAATGACAAAGAACAAGTCAGTGGTGCATAACTTAGCCTGAAGTACCAAAATAGGAATAAGATGAGCTTTGTTGAACCTGAATTCTTGCTTGCCATGTTTTTAAAAAATTCATAAGTCCATAAATAAGGCGAGGCTTTTTTTATACCTTCTTTCGCGAACTTATGTTTTTTAGAGATCATCAGAGGAGGGCAGGAAAAAAAATTAATTTTGTCGCAAATAGTTTTGCCAAAAACATGTACAAGACGGAGGAGAAAAAAATGTAATTAAGAAGAAATATATCCATATATTATTTTTGAAGATTTTAGGGCAGCGGCCGGCGTTTAAGTAAAAATAGAGAAACACCTATTTTTTTTCTGAAATTTCTAATTTTTCGTGGTCAAGTCAACTCGGTCAAATGTCAGTGTGGCCCCATGTCAACTTGGGGCCCAAGTCAACTCAGTGGGGTTGTTGAGGTACTAATAATAATAACAGTGGACCTTTCTGGAGTGTCATTGCAATCAACCTATATTAACGACTGACCAATCGGAACACTGTGTACATGCTTGTTCCACAAAAACTTTTGTGTACGTACATTTACGTTATCATTTTTTGGACATTCGCAGCAATATCCAAGAGAGGGGTTTATTAGAGGAAAGATGATGGTCATGCATTTACTCTCTTAGATCTGGCAAATGACAATAATGAAAAGTACAGTTAATGAAAATATACAAAAGGAAAGTGATTCAAGGTCTACTGATTGCCATTCCTACATTAACATTCATTAAAAAGTATGATCATAACTTTGGTGCAAAAGTAGATTACCATCAATAATATTTTCAATGCCTATACAGTATCTAGAGTAGGTCTGTTTAGTGTTGTCCAGGGCATACAGTAGATCTAGGTATATGTCATTTTTTTCTTTTTTCTTTACATATTTATATAAATTTAATTAAGTAGATTATACTGTATACAGCAAAGAATGATGATTTAAATGCCATTCAGTGTGGAACATTCTTATATATTCTGTTTATTGAATATTCAGAACCACAAGTTTATTTTTTCATACAATCTACAGTAAGTCAATACTGGTGGTAAATATACTTAGTGGAAGACTTGGTGACTCCACTTCCATTCTACCCATTTCAGAATTAAAACATTCCTTTCATTGTACATATAGTACCTAAATGTTGTTATCATGGGAAAATCACTCTTACAAAATTTACTGTAACTAAAACAGTTTTACAGGCCTACACTACAATATTCAAAATTTATTTCTCTCCATTTCATTTTTAACCCCCCTCCCCCCCGGAAAACGCGGGATGATCGCCGACCGGCACTCCAAAAAGCTGGCGACATCCCTGATTTGGTAAAAGGAGGTGCCAGTGCAGTCCCTTCACACACACACACACACATATATAGCACAAAGCTTCAGCACTTTTTGAGTGGGATTCAATCAATTGAAAAGCAACAACACATAGATGTAGGCTAGTATGCCTATAAGTGTAATTAACTTTATAATATTGGAAGAAGGCCGCCGTATGTATCCTATGCAATTTTTACTGGTTTAGCTGTTTATCTTTACCAGTAAAAATCGACGACCAACTGTCATAGGGAGAACCCTGCATTTTAGGTATGGTTTAAATCAGACTTCCTGACATGATTTTATTTAAAAATTCATAGAATATGTCACATGCAAATACTTTTTTTTAGAAAATGTTTCTAAATATACTGTTTAATGTTGAAGTGCTATTTTCATGTCAAATGATAGTCTCTTTTCTATACAGGTAATTGAATAATATAATACTAGTGTAGTTTTATATAGCACCATATCCATCTAACATAAGATGCTCAGGGCACTTGATGTGTGAACTAGTAACTTGTTCGATGACTTTCTTTGCCCCTATGGGTTCCTTCGTGTCTGTGCTACCCGGTAACCCGGTACTAACAACTCTGTCTGTTCCAGTACAGCGGGGTGTTCCCCTACTCATCTTGAGTGATATACTGGGTTGTTGGTGCAAACGAGCCATTGTGTACACTGGGCCTACGGTTTAAGGTCCTTATCCAAGAAGACTTGTTCTACCATCAAGAACCATACCAATATATATTATTATCTAATCATAAAGTTTGAGGAATGTTCTTTCACAAATAGTAAAAAGAATAAATGGAGCCACTAACTCATCTTTATTGTAGAGAGACTAGTTAAAAAAAAATTTACATACTGTACAACACTCAATGTTATAGAATTTTTAAATGTCAGGAAATCAGCCTCATGTTGGTATGTACCACTGATTTAGGCTGTTGGTCATTACTTCAACTTGTCTACCGGTTTTTGAAAAAGGAGTTAATATGATAGGAGAAATATGTTATAAGAATGAACGAATTAAACACAACACTCTCTGATATGCCACTTTAGGTCATACTATTCCAAACATTCTTTTGGAATATTGATTTTTAGTTCCTATGCATGTAATGGAATAGGAACTATTGTAATCACTCTGTCACATTTCTTTTGTTTTTTATTGTGTGTAGTATGTGTGTGCGTATTGTGTGTAGACATTTATGCAAATGCGCATGCGTCAAAGAAAAGTTTTCCGACATTTTGTTTTACATCGCGATGCGAAGTTCGATGTGGATTTTCTGCAGAGTTCAGTCAGGGCTCACGCTAACCGATCGGAATGTCGGCATGGATGAAACTATTTTGGTTTTACGGCAAAAAAATCAACTGCTGTGGCATAGGTATTTTGAAGAAGGCCTAAAATAAAACAAAAATGTTTTAATACTTGCTGAAATACATCGTTTTTTTCATTTAGATCTCCATTTTTCACTAACTCCATGCGACGTTTATTTCTGTTGTATGAGTAGTCCATAGAGCTATTAAACAACTAGAGAGTTGACAAGATGGCGCAGCAATGAGAGTTATGTATGTGTACCATCCAAGATGGCCGTCGTAGTAAAGCGCCACCTTCAGGCTTAGTATACATATTATTACATATTAATAAGCCCTCTGACTGACTATTATTTCATTAATGATAATGAGTAATGGTAATAACAAATTATTAAACTATTGTAGCCAAAATGAGGCCAAGTGGAGCAGCATCTTATTCAAAAATAAAGTACCAAGGAATGTATCTAACTTTCCACAAAAACATTAGGCCTAAACTAGGCCTAGTTCGTCAGTACAGTAGTTACTGTAGACTTGCCACAAGTCTCTTATTTTTTTTAAAATTATTTTTCTCATTCTGGACAGCGCCACCAACGAGAAAGTTAATTTAGAGATAGACGGAATGCGACTTGTAAAACACTGAAGTCAGGCACCAGGATGCCAAAAGAATGACGTAATCTTATATTCCGTATTTGGATAAATGGGCGGACCGAAATAAACAATTTTAACCAATCAAATGTTCATATTTTTGGAGCCACGAAACTGAGTCACTCGTCGCTCGCGTCGACTAGTTAGGCATGACTAAATTTAAATAGTCCTCCCTAATCAAATGGGCCTAAAATATTTAGAATAGACCCTAGTAAGACTAATTTTGGCAATGGCAAAAACAATTAAGCCTAGACGGCATACCATACAAATACAACAAAACTTTAACTTTCCAGGAGGATGGCTCAGGCCTCGTCTGAATAGTAGGCCTAGCCTAGACTCTAGTAGAGGCTTGGCGTATTTTTAAGTTCTAACTTACAGAGGCCTACCTTTTAAACAATATTCTACTCTGTAAAATCTGGCCTAAATCTGTGTAACAGCTAGCGGTGAGCAAGTTTCCTAAGTATAGCCTACGGTTATCAGTCCATGTCGTTCTCAGCAGGCCAGAACTATATACTAACTGTTTTAATTCAAGTATAGGTAGCCAAAAGGGAGCTGGTTAGCTAGCTTGTTCTAGTCGAGACATCCGCATCTTCAATTTTGAAAATTTACCAAGATTGATTAATATGCATGAAGTTTGCCAATCACGTGATTTACAAAATCAGTCATGCATACGATATCCCACATCAAATTTGATGTGGGAAATTGCACGCATGAATCGTTTGCCCAGGCCCTAATTCGAAAAAAAAGAAATCGAGTATGGGACGCCAATTAAATTAGGTATGGCGCGCACTAAGTGCAATAAAAAGTGAGTAACCTAACATTAGGGC